GACAAAGAGAGCTTCTTCCGACACCAAGTGTATTTATAGTATATAAAGAAGTTCAGCAGTACAAACCGGCAGCATGACAGCATGACATTCATTAGAAGAGATCTGTACATCTTCTCCACATATCCATACAGTTATACACATATGCGCAACCAATCAGTGGACATTGCATCATCCCAGACTGCATGATTCAACATTTTTCACACCTGTCAAACATGGCTGCTGATTATCATAGCCCTTGTTCCGCCTCAGTGTGGAAATGATCCTTGACAGTTCAGGCAGTCCAAGAGCTCAGTTAGAAAGTAGGTATTACAGATAAGAATAGTATGAACACAGAGTCACCTTGCAGTCCAGGGTGAAGCACGTTAGAAGAAACTGAAGCCAGAGAGTCAAGGAAGAGACTTAAAAGGAGTAGAGCCAGAGTAAGATGTTTTTTTAAAAAGACTTCCTTGAACAAAATTCAGGCTTATTATAAATCTGAGTTCTCAAGCTTCCACCCAAGCCTTACTTGCAGGCCTTTAGGCACAGTTCTTCCTTCTATACAAGGACTTGCTTACAAGGAGGCCTGCACTCTGAGGATCTTGCCCTGCAGATGAGCATCCCTTCAGGAAGCCTCACCGTATTTTCAAGTGCTGATGCTTTCGCTGGGATGTGAAAGGGTCTCTGTCTTGTCCTCTGACACAGGCCTGGAGCTTCAGGACTACCTGGCTGGGCCCAGGCTCAACTGGAGTGGTGGGTTCTTCTGCGCCCTTCCTCTCAAGAGGCTTTAGCTCCTCTTTGGAGAAGGATCCCTTTAGTAACTGCATGATACGGTGTGGAGGAGCTCTTTACTGAACACACAGCTTTGCGTTGGCAAACCAGGCTCTTGAGTGCATTTATTATTTCCTAACAACCTTAAAAAGTCTACTCTTTTCATCATACAGAATAATTGAAATAGCACCTGTGTATAGAAGTGTGTAGCTCTTTTATAGGTAATCTAGCTAATAAAGTTCAGGTAGCGATTTATCTAGTGATACTAGTTTTCCCCTCTCATACTATTCAAAGCTTCCAGGAGAAACTTGGCTCCGTTTGGTTTTCCCCAATCAGATTGTGGGACATATAATTCTCTATTTACATGCAGTCCTAAATTCTTCTTTCAAACGTTTGACATTGACCAAAGCCAAGCTTAAGCTAGTTTATATTCAGGTTTGATGGAGTGGAAAACTGGAAGAAAACATTCCTGTGGATGGATGAGATGGTGTCTGAGTCAGCAGTCCTAATGTGATAGTTTTTCTTTTATTCTCTTCCACCCTAACCCTATCCCACTCAGGCTGTGAACAAGCTGGCTGAGGTAATGAATCGTAAGAATCCAATCCAACGAGGGGCTGACACTGATGTTAGGAGAAAAGAAAAAGAGAACAGGAAGCTACACATGGAACTCAAATCTGAACGTGAAAAGCTAACTCAGATGATGATAAAGTATCAGAGGGAAATCAATGAAATGCAAGCGGTAAGTAGGTGCATGCAGATTTATGTGGAAATCAAAGCAGATGAACAAAACAAAGTCAACCTGTACTGCATAGCTCAGTATAAAACCTTACTTGTCAACTGTGTTAAGATAGAGGCCTTTCCACATTTTCTGTGTTCTGCTTTCTATCTTTAAGCAGTTGCTGTTAAAAGAATAGCCAAGTCTCTGTTAAGTATGATTTTGTAGAAAGTACAAATATAGTAATATGAGGCTTACTTCTTCTATTTATATCTCCTTTTGTAGCAAATAGCGGAAGAGAGCCAGATAAGAATTGAATTGCAGATGGCTCTGGACAGCAAAGATAGCGACATCGAGCAGCTTCGCTGTCAGCTGCAGTCGATACACCTTGGTTTGGACAGCAGTAGTATATGTGGCCATGGTGAAGCAGATGCAGACGATGGATTCCCTGGTATGATCCCTCCTTCATTAGCATCACTTCCTTTTTTTGGTTACATGAATCAGAATGTTCAAGCTGATTGCTTTCAAGTTTTAGAAATCACAGAAAAGTATATAAGCTCTCTCTTCCTGCCAACTTTTAACCTTTTAGCAAAAGCCCTCTTTAATATGTGAAAAAAATAGATTATAGTGCTTATATTTTCTCTTCAGATACCTTTTTATTAATCTGTAGCATAATTACTGAAGAAGTGGATGTAATCATGTTTTAACGCCACCTTTCATTCATTCTTTCTGGATTTCCCTTCCTCATGCTGGGTGCTCAGTCCGTATCACTCAGTCCCACACTTCGGAGTCTATGTCTTTCACCTATGAGCGCTCTTCTACCTCTGTCAGTATTGCCACTAAGCCTTCTAGTTCTTGTGCCTTTCTCAATTCTGATTCTGACTCAGAAGAAGAACCGCTGCCTTCTACTCCTGCCCCTTCAGAACCTGACAATCCAGGTGACATTCCTCAGAACCATTTAGTGATGGAATGCTGCTGCTTGAAGGCCATCTCTCTAATTTTGCATTACTAACCAAGAAAGCAGTGGAAAATCAGATGATGCATGAAGGAAGGAGGGGCTTTTGTCATCTAAAATCACCTGTGATTGTAATGTTAATCTTGGGGACTTTGTGTGCTGCTACAGAGGAGCACATGCAGCATGCACACGTTTCCCGTTTTCTGCAGTTCCTCAACATAACCCAAGCTGCTTATAGCAAAGTTCGGGCTTCGGACTTAATGAACTGTTGTATCTCTGGTTATTCAGCAGGAGGGGAAAAGTTTGTTGAGCACCATTTGTTTATTTATTTGACTTCTATACCACCAAGCTGGCTGCCGAGGCCACTGTGGGTGGTTTACAACACTACATAATAGATAACAATTTAAAACAGTAAACATAATAGATTTTTTAAAAAATCAAAATTAAAATCGGTACACATAGACAACTACATGAAATTAATTAAAAATGAATAAGGTGATTTAAAGTCAGGGTGTTGATTGCATATCACACTTTGGGATTGCGGCTTGCATTTAGCAGATTGTGTCTTATTTCAAGTTTTATTCTGTGTTCTGATGATTATCAATGTTAGATGTGGTCAATTAATTGTGAATTCACTTAGATATCAGAGGGAACCCACTGGGTTTTTTTCAGCACCAGAAATTATTGCCAGTGGTAGCATTCAGACATAAACATTTTGGCTTTTCGGGTCATGTTATGTGTCAAACAGAAAAAAAATCAAGTTGCAAAAGCAGTCCTTCAGCTGATGAACTTCAGAATTTGGTTTCCCAACCTCAGAGATTCCTTATAAGTGAAAACAAAATAAAAAGTGAAAAAAAGACAAAAACGGGGTGACGCTTTAAAGACTAACTTATGTACTTGTTAATGTGGAGCTTTCATGAACAAGTCCACTTCGTCAGAGATTCCTGTGGCTCTCGTTTCACCTTCTATTTGTGCAGATATTGAGCTCTCGTAGTGCATTTTTATTCCAAACCTTGAAGGTATGACCCTTAGCTAGCTGAGCCTTTGCTATTGCCTTGACATGGCTTCCTTTAATGGGGTGGCTCTTTCTTCCTGCTCTAGTATGTCTGGGAAAGCCATACCCTTTTTAAATTCCCACATTAAGTAAACCAGAAACATGTTCAGCTTGCGTTGTGATGCAGCAGCAGATGGCCTAAAATTCTTAGAAGATAGTCGTGGTGTGGTGTTGAGTTCCTACATTTGTCACAACTGCCAGATACACAGAATATCTAAAAACATAAAACCTGAATGTCTTAAAGCCTTGTTGTGAGACATTTGTACATTGTTCACACTTATTGGGTCTGTGCCCATAAAACAAAGATGGATTGATTGTTGTTGTTGTGGGTTTTCCAGGCTGTTTGGCCATGTTCTGAAGGTTGTTTTTCCTAATGTTTCGCCAGTCTTTGTGGCCAGCATCTTCAGAGGTCAGGAGTCAGAACTGAAGATGCCAGCCATAGAGACTGGCAAAACATTAGGAAGAACAGCCTTCAGAACATGGCCAAATATCCCGATAAACCCACAACAACCATCAGATCCTGGCCGTGAAAGCCTTCGAGAATTCATGGACTCATTGATTGACATTCTTCACAAGTGCTGTGGAACATCTAGGTACTATTCATGGACAATGTACAGTGGTGCCCCGCTAGACAGTTACCTTGCAAAATGGTTTATTCACAAGACGATGAATTTTTGTGATCGCTATAGCGCTTCACAAAACGGTTTTCCCTATGGGCGATTTTCACTGGACAATGTTTCGGTCCATGCTTTGCAAGACGGGTTTTTTTCGGGACTGTTTTTTGCAAGATGACCATTTTGACAGCTAGGTCCGCAACTCGCAAAACGTTTTTTTAAGGGACCGATTTTCGCAAGACAGCGATTTTGACAGCTGGTCTGCACTTCGCAAAACGGTTTCTCTATGGGTGATTTTTGCAAGACGACGACTATTTTCCCATTGGAATGCATTAAATGGATTTCAGTGCATTCCAATGGGGAACCGCATTTCGCAAGACGATGTTTTCACAAAACAGCGATTTTCGCGGAACGAATTAGCATCGTCTTGTGAGGCACCACTGTAGTTTAGACCAGTACTTTAGTGGAGCACCTGTTTTTTTAATAGATATTGGCTCCAGTTCCTTTCACACCATTCAGCATGGCCCATATGGATGATAGCAGCTGACATCTGACAACATCTGGAGGGCTACTGGTTTCCCATCACAGCTATAGAGAGTCCTTTTGCTTCTGAACAAAATGCTTGGGCTGGAAGTGTTCTGTTGCAGTGAAAAACTCCAGTGAAGAGATTTTCCATCAAAAAATATGTTTGTCTTCTATTTTTCTACCCATGGTTTTTACACTCATCATAACATTCCTCAGATAGGAAGATACTACCTATTTGTTTCAGCAATATAGTGTGCATCTTCCTTTCTTCCCCTTATTCTGAAATCCAAAAGATAAAAAGTTGGTTAAATCGTTTGTTCCCGCTGCTAACATATATGCAGTGCTAGCGGGGTGGTGGTGGTGGAAGGAATCAACATTTAAGAAATAGCAGTGCTGTTACTTTTTTTGAGTGTGTGCAATGCATGGGCTTCTGTGCAGAGTTTTAGACGTGTTAGCAATGATATCATGGAACATGGTTGAGAGCACACAGGATTATATATGTGAATGTTCAGTTGCAAAATTGGCACCCATTGGTGGTGGCTGCTTCCCCTACCACTGCTAGGTTCAAGGGGGATGAAATTGGGTTCCCACACCTGATAAATTTCTCTACTTCCATTCCAAGTTACTGAAAAAATAAAACAAAACCTTGGTTCTGTTTATGAATATTTTGTATTAAACTTTTTGCCAGTATGAGTTAGCATTTTAACCTGAAGCAAAATAATAATAACTAAAAAAAATCTATAGTATCTGTATATGCCTTTAACAAAACACCCTTTGAAATAGCTTCTGATTAACTAGAAAAAGTTAGAAAGTCTTATGTTGGGTGCTAAAGGTTACAGTTTTGTAAAAGTTAATATCTGAGACCCACTTAATTTTAAAAGAGTGATACATTTTGCTTTAAGAGTAGACTAAGTGCAACAGTTTTTATAGGTTTGAGGACCAATTATTTAGATTTAAAGACTATTTATTTTAGTACATTTAATCCCTCAGTAGTAAACTTACTTTTATCAAATATATGATAGAGAAATGAATGAAGGATTTAACACTTTTTAACTGTGGTGCTTCCCATAGTCATATGACCAAATGTTAAAGCATGAAAGAGAAATGCTTTTGGTATTGCTGTTCATAGAACAGCATAACAGGGAGACATAATCCCAGCTCCAAAACTAAAGGGAACAGGCAGACCCGATTATGCAATGGGAACAGGAACATCACAGCATGTTTTAAAGAAAAATTGTATTTTTGCAGCTGTGTGTATGTTTAATAATGCAAAGGGAAGGCAATAGATGTGGATCTGTATGCTCTGTTAATGTTATTTGCAAAACAAATGGAATGGATCATAGCAGTAATAAATGCTTATGTTTTTGCTGTGGGACAAAAGCTTCTACTAATAAGAATGTAGAGTGATACAATTGTAGGAGCAGAGCTGTGCTTATTTTACTTCAGTTGTTTCATTATGTGCTTATAGAAGGATTATAGGTGAACATGGGTTTCAAAGAAGCCAGTTATGTACGTATTCTTAATCTGACATAACTTTGTGAAAACACATGCCTGTATGATAGCATTTGTTTAAATGTTTGTACACATTTATATTTTTCAGAGTCAAGATTAGAAGGTTGGCTTTCATTGCCAGCCAGAAACAACACAAAGAAATTTGGTTGGGTTAAAAAGGTAAGAACTATAATGTTGAAAGATGTTGTTCCAGTACACATTTACTCGTATCGCTGGGTGCTGAACCAAGCACAAAACATTTGCTACCACTTTTGTTGCCTTGCTGCTTTTTTTTTTGTCTGTGTCCACTGTGAGTCTCAACTACTCTGTTTCCCTGAAAATAAGACCTAACCTGAAAATAAGACCTAGCATGATTTTTCAGGATGCTCGTAATATAAGCCCTAACCACAAAATAAGCCCCAGTTAAGTGAAACCCCGCCCTCCACTATTGTGCAGCAACCAGAAGAAGATGACATGACTGTATGTGAATCAATGTAGATGGTTATACATGAAAAGAATATAAAACATCCCCTGAAAGTAAGTCCTAATGCATTTTGGAGCAAAAATGAATATAAGACTCTGTCTTATTTTTGGGGAAACACGGTAGAGTAAGCCCACTGAATCAGTTATTAAATGATGAATGAACACTTGCATAAATCTAGCTGATTTAGTGGTTCTACTCTAGCTGAGACTATCAATAGGATTTTGGTCCTATAGTTGTAACTAGGGTCCTGCCTGTGTATTGCACTCAACATGCAGATGGACAGACAGAAAAAAAATGAGTTACGGATCACATAGACACAGAGAAAGGGGAGCCACCACTCACCTTCCCTCACCAGTCATCTGTCAATTATTCTTTTTTTTTTCTTCTTTTTTTTTTTAGTGGTGAGTTTTCCTCTAGGACACATGTGTCAAACTCAAGGCCTGTGGGCCAAATCTGGCCCACCTGGCCATTTCATGTGGCCCGTGCAGTGTTGCCTGCTACTCTGCAGTGTATAATATGCAGGTGCTTACTCATTCACCCATAATGCTCCAAATGGATGCTGGGAATCCGCCCAGCAGGACTTTTAATCCCAGCATTCAAAGCAGAGAAGAGTCAAAAAGTGCAGCCGCTTGGGCAGCGTACAACATCTTGGGAAATGTAGTCCTCGCTATTGCCCACTCTCATTCTTATCTGCTTGCCATTAGTTCTAGACTTTGATCATAGACTTTTGCTTTCAGAGCTAGTTATTACTTGCATTATTACTATAACCAGTAATAATTGAATGAGGAGGATTATAAAGAGTAGATTCATTTATATAGTCTTACAGATACAACCGGCCCCTTGAGGGGCAACCATAATGCCAATGTGGCCCAAGATGAAATTGAATTTAACACCTCTGCTCTAGGATGTGGGAATGGGAAGAGCAGAGACAATCAGCAGGCATATTCTAGAGCAGTGTTTCCCAACTTGGATGCCATCATTCCCAAAGTGCCCACAAAGTGTTTTCATTGTGTGTGTACCATGAGTTGCCATATATGTGTTGTATCTCTTGTTAATTAATTTCTTTCTTGACCTTTTGGAGTGGGATATTAGAGTTAGTGAATATGTGTATATATATGAGAAATGGGACTCTGGGGGAGAAAGAAGGGACATTTTGAGAAGGGATGATTTTACTCAATTAAAAATGCATTTTATACAAACATGGCGGGAGGGAGAATTCACAGGTTACTTGGCTATTATAAAAGGGGTCACGACTCAAAAAAGTTGGGAATCACTGCAGACAGAATAAGCTGATTTAATTTTTTTGCAAGAAATTGAAGTTCCCTGTGCACATATTGGCTATCCAGGAGGTAGAAGTCTACTTGCAATCCCAAAACTATACAAGGGAGTTCATCCAAAGGGTACATGTTTGTTCACCTGAACTATTAAAAAAGAAACATCAGCTACATCATAACTTTGGGAGATAGTGAGCCTTTTTATAACACATATACTCTCATATCACTTGTTTACTTCAGTGTGACAGTTTCAAGGTACTTTGGGTCTTATATATTGAATGGAATGCCTTTTAGAAATACTTTAACCAGTAGCCAAAGCTAGTTACTCAAAGAATGTTTTATGTGAATTCATTGCATTATGTTTGTGTATAAAAATATTGCCATGGAAGAGAGATGGCTTGTACAAGTCACCAGGACAAATTGTGACCCATTTTTATATCTATCTGCTCCCAGTATGTAGTCGTCAGCAGCAAGAAGGTACTATTCTATCACAACGAACAGGATAAAGAACAATCGAACCCTTATATGGTCCTAGACATTGAGTAAGTATTATTATATGACTTCATTAGCATGCATTGTAGAATCTCTCAGATTCTTTTCTTTCTTGGAAAGAAAAACATTTTAAACTAATTTTAAAACAGAAGAACTTCCAATTAATGTTTTCTGGAAGTTAACAAATTCTAATTCATACATTGTACAGAGTACATACTGTGTTTCCCCGAAAATAAGACAGGGTCTTAAATTAATTTTTGCTTCAAAAAAGCATTAGGGGTTATTTTCAGGGGATGTTTTATTTTACAGTCGTGCCATCATCATGTGGTTGTTGCACAATGGTGGAGGGGGAGGTTTCACTTAACTGGGGCTTATTTTGGGGGTAGGGCTTATATTACGAGCATCTTGAAAAATCCTACTAGGGCTTATTTTCAGATTAGGTCTTATTTTCGGGGAAACAGTGTAGTGACCCTGTAGGGGCATTTGGAACCAAGGGATCTCAGGAGTGAAAGAAGAAAACATTATTCCACAGAAATTAATGGATAGCCCACCAGTTTAGTGTTACGTGCCCAATGGTCAGTGTTGTCTTAGCAAAGAATAGCCTCTTCAAGACAACCCATGTAAATGGGAAATGTCCTCGAAAACAGCGCAAGGACACCGGTTTGGGAGAGACTGGTGTGCATTTTAACTCTGGCTTTCCACTCACCTGCCAGAATTTGTGACTTCTTTTTGTTATATGCCATCAGTTTGTCTTCAGCCCAAGGTGACCCTATGAATTAGTGACTTCCAAAAGATTTTATCATTAATAGCCCTGTCCAGGGCATGGAAATTTAAGCCAGTGACTTCCCTTATTGAATCAATCCATCTCACATTTGGTCTTCATCTTTTTTTGGTGCTTTCAACTATTCTTGGCATTATCTTCTTTGCCATTGAGTCTTTTCTTCTCATGATATGCCCAGAGTGCAACAGCCTCATTTGTGCTCTTAAGAAGGTTCAGGTTCAACTTGATCTAGTACCCACTTGTTTATCTTCCTGAGAGTCCACGGAATCC